CCCCCTACGCCACCCCCCCCCCCCGGTACCCGGATCCGCCTAAGCCTTTGACGCAAGGATATCAAACAATATATATCTCTATTTCCACGTGAGCTCTGTTTTACACACAAATCCCTGATTTCTGGGGCTCATACGGAACTCGAAACACGCCAGAGGAGCGACGAAATGAGAGTGGGGCTGCAACTTTTCATGAAAAATAATTATTATTTATTATCATTATATCATGTGAAATATTTCGTGAAATTTCAGAAAAAAATGAAAAATATTGAAAAATTCGTTTCGAAATCAAATTCAAAATTAAATGAAAGGCAACTGGATTTTGTTTTTTGGCATTTTTTAGTGCGTGTTACATACCCAGCCCCTGAAAATATGTATCATATTTTTCACAAATTTGCGAAATCTCATGAAATATTTCACGGAAATTCTCAATATCTCATATTTTTCATCTCACCCGTGCGACCCTGAATGAGAGTATGAACATCACACGGGTAGAATCGGCTCGTTTCCTAAGGTCTCTCTTGAAGTGGCGGGGTCTCGCCTATCCTCGGGTGCACATACATTTTACATCGGTGGACATTTTCGGAATACAAATGACAAGTTTTTTTCCGTCACACCTCCTCCGCCTAACGGCTCGGGAGACGAGCAGGGGTGGTAGTAATTGGCACTCGATGAAACCTATATATTGGCGCCGCAATTTCTCTCGGACTTCCAGTTCAAAAGGGGTGCTCCGCGCGGAAAATACATCTCAGTGTAGGCGGAGTTTTCCGAAATGCTCCGTGCGTGGTGTTTGGCGTGTTTCGTTATCGGGAGTGGACTCACCGAAAGTAGAGTGCCCGAAGGATTTTATCTGAATGATGGGGAGTCTGTGTTCAAAGGTTTGCTATATACCCTTCATATAAGATATTATTACACGAGGAACGATCCGCAATATCTCATAAGTCAAATTTCAGATTGTCGTGCCATCATTTTCCCATAGTTTTATGGATAGTTCGATCTACTCATCGTCTGTCCAAAAATATACACACTGGAAAAAAAAACATTGGATCTAGAGTCCAGACTCCTAGAAACATTGACAAGTAAAAGTACTCTTGATTCGATCAGAATCTAGCTTAAATCAAGAACCAAGCCTCTTAACTTAAGCGGATTTTGTTTTGATTCAAGCAAAAATCCGATTGAATCAAGAGTATTTTTTCTTGTCAATGTTTTCAAGAGTCTGGACTCTAGATCCAATGTGTTTTTTATTCCAGTGCACCCAACTCGCCAGATTCAGGGTAACTTTAAGTATGAAATCAAAACTTGGTCTCAGTCCTATAGTTTTACTTCGCTCAGCTCAGATCTTAGCATTGAATTTTACTTTATTTTATCTATAATTATTTATCCATTCTTTTCATGGTCAAATTAAAACTTGTCTATGCGCTCTTTCTCTGTGCCTCAAATTGTTTTCCGGATGAGCAATAAAAGGTGTTTTCTGTTAAAATCCGAAATATTAAAGGACCCAAATCGATGAAAATCGTTGTCTTGGAAGCAAAAATTGTCATAAGTAGTAAGTCTCCGTAAGTAAACTTTCCTCCATCCCTTCAAATGAGGGAAAACAGGAAGTCGGGGTTGGTTTACTCGCAGTAAAATCGGTGTAATTTGTGCGAGACTATTTACACGTTTTAAACGGAATATTGTTACTTGCACCAATTGGTATAGAATTTGTTTTGCCCAAAAAAGAGAAGAATATACATATGATTAAAGAAAAGAGTAAAGATAGCTTGAGGATGTGCTGTGCAATCCACTCCCTAAACGTCAGCAAGCTCTAATTTCATTTTTATTTTTATAATTAATAAAAGTGAAAAGTACTAATTTTAAAATAGTTTTTTTTTTTAAGGCGATTTTAGTCAAAAATGCTCACGAGACATAATTCTTTCAACATCTTCCTAAGTAGGTCTGTTAGATTTCCTCTGAGTGTAATTGCTCCCGCTGTAACGATCACATGGGTGGCAAGAAGTTAAATCCAGGCGTACAGGAGAGTGATTTTTACTGAGGTGGGTCTCAAAATTGGACATCGAAATTTTAGTAGAAAACTCACTAAAGCCAGAGATATTTATGGTGCTCTCCTTGACCAGAAGGTGAGACAAATCGGAATTTCATGAAGTGTTTCACGAGGCTCGAAGCTGCATTAATGAAAACTATGAACAATTCATTCCAAAAGAATGGAAAGATGTTGTGCATTAATCTTCACTGCCCGCGTAGATTTCCCGCCGCGCGCCGCTCGTTAATTGCAACGGCCGATCAGCGGTGCACAGTTAAACATTGCCGTGTTTAGTGTTACTTTGTGTTGCTTTTTTATGTAAGCTAAATCCATAATATTTGGTTTCTCAACACAATTTTGTGTTAAATCGACTCAAACCGTAGGTTGCTCCGAGAAATCGGAGCATGAAGAAAGAGTCCTGCGGAACTACCTAATGTACTCTTACATTCATCCTCATACTCAGAGGTTGCGACTTGCAAGTGGCTATAGCGCATTGAATTATTACCGGTCCGAGACTGGTCCGATCTTGGCGGTGGCGCCTAATTTTTAACGAGGTCGCAAATTTTCCACAAAAAGATTCGGTTACTTCAACCGAAAGATTTGGTCGATTTGACACAGGGAAAAGTAACACGCACACCGGAAAAAAATAAAATAAAATAAAAAAATCTTTTAAAAAAATCATTCACCAGCTTGTGTTTACTTTGTGTTGCATTTCCCATCTTAATAATATATTTCGGTTACTTTTCTTTTACCGTGTGAATGCGGCTAGTGCACGATTGGTGGAGCTCTCGTTAACCAGAAGGCGGAAAAACTGGATTTTTTTTTTAAATATTACGCGAATTATCATGAGGTTTACGATACTCGAAGCTGCGTTCATGCAAACCGTGAACAGATCACACTAATATAACACTAAATAGCTAATCAGCTAAATTAATCGTTAATGAAAGAATCAGACTGTAGCAACGCGACGCCCGGTTATTCTTCGAGCCAGCGCTAAAACTTTACCTTAAATACCTACTGTTTTAAATCCATTCTTGTATAGAAGAGACGATCGTCTTTGTATGCTTTTTTACGAATGTTTTGCGACTACCTAACCAAAAATATTATCTAGAAATTAAAAATAGTATGCAAAAATATCAGCTAGATTTCTTCGAGTGAAAGGAAAGAATAATCGGAAATGATGACAGTCCTCCTAACGCGAGTTCGAATAATCACGTCAAAGACAGTGCGGCCGACGTTAACCGCATATTAGCGCCGGCAAGACTGTAGAAATACTGCACGCATTGCGCCAAACGGTGCGGTCGGCCGACGCATATTAGCGCCTACAAGACTGCCCGAATACTTCTCGCATTACGCCATACGCAATGCAGTGGTCAGATAGCGTGACACGTACCTTAGCGCCTACAAGGCTGAAGGAATACTCCACGCATTGCGCTCGCAGCACGGTGTGCTCTTAAATCATTATAATTTCTCCATGTAGGACCCACTCCCCGCGGTGCGGTGGACGCAATATCCAACCAGTATACAACCAGTACCAGTATATTCTGCAATTCTCGCAGGATCGTGGAGATTTTCCTGCTCTTTATTAACTTTTTCATCATTATATATCTCTCATTTGCACCTCATCTACTTGACCTTCAGACGAATAAAACATCAAAATTTGCCAGTTTTAGTCGCAAATGTCAAGTCCAACTTCGTCCACTAGCTCGTTCTATTGTACGTCATTGTCTCGCAATTTTGATGTTTTCAGTCATGGAAGATCTTTGTGCAAAGCGTGGGCGTCCGGTGAGGCGCGGGCGCGTAGCAGGCGGTAGCGTTTCTCGCTACCCCTCCGCGCGGCGTCAAGTCTATGTCAGTGAAAAACGAAATAACTATTCGACCACGGGCATAAGCATATTGCTATTAGCTGGGCTGAGAACGCATGACACTGTGAATATGATTCGACCGCGCTCCCTTCCCTGGCTTGCGCGACGCTACAGTCGCTGCAAAACTAGGACTACGCGTCATTTCTTTTTACGACCTTTGTCCGGTTTTTACCACAATTAAAGGGTAAATATGTATCTTTATTGCAACGATTCAGAAACTCGGGCGACGTTTAATAGATGTGTAAATTACGCAGCGATTCTGGAACTTGATTCGCGTAAAATTAATTTTGGTTCAATTAAAAGAAAATAGAACGAACCAAAATATCGCGTCGAAATTGTTTGTGATTTTATTTCAAATCAGTCCAGAAATTTCTCGGAAACTCTTTAAAAAACTGTATGTAGCTTTTTAAAAAAAATTGATTAAAAATAAAATTTGAGTAGAGTTGTGCAACGTTACAATCGGAGATAAGAACACTATTTTCCGCGTGCAGGCGTCAATATTTGATTTCATTCACGGCAGGCGTAACAAGATAACTATTCGACCACGAGTGTAGGCATATTGCCGCTATAGCCGGTTAGAAGGCGCGTCACATCGCAAAGATGACTCCACTGCTTTCGCTGCCCTGGCTCGCGCGACGCTGAAGCCACCGCTTAACTAGGACTACGTGTCATCATTCTTGACTCTCTCTGCTTCGGTTTTTACCATAATTACAGAAAAAATAAGTATCCTCATTTTAACGATTCAGGAACTCGGACGATATTTAATTTTTTTGTTACATAAAAAGAAAATAAAGCGAACGAAAATATCGCGTCGAAATTTTTGATGCTTTTATTCGATATCATATAGGGGAAGTCGCAGACACTTTTCAGAAAAACTGTGTTTAGCTTTTTGAAAACATTAAAAATAAACCATAAAAGTTGTGCATAACGTTTCAATCAGAGACAAACACGCTTTCTCTCGTGTGCAACCGTCGACTTTTGAATTCATTCATCTCTTAAATATAACTTGAACATGGTTGTTCTACGATTTTTTACGTGTAGTTTTTTCAGTAGTTGACGGCTGTGTAGCGGCCACAGGCCCCTAGTTTCGAATTATAATTTAATCATTTTGGTTATAGATGGCGCCTCTACCAGGACAATGCTCGTGAGGATGAAGCGAAGTCCAGCCCGAACTATGTCAATCAGTGGCTACTTGCCGAATGGCGGCCTCTCCTATGCCAGCACGGACCTAATGTACCCCTCCTACAGCTCCATGGGGTAAGCAATGTGCACCACATTCAAAGCACCCTTCATGAGCTAGTCGTCTAAGTCAGATCATTGCATCATGTATTTTACGATAGTGAATTTTGTTTCTACGATCGATTTGTTTTACATGAGCTTTAATTCCACGAAGGCCTGCGCCTGATCTCCTCAGACACGGAGAACGAGGTCTAGTGCTCATACCTAAACAGGAAGGTCAAGGAGACTTTTTGCAATAAGAAACAATTGGACTGCATTTTGCAATTTGGAACTACAAATTTTGGCTTTTCTGGAAAAACACTTATGCGCATAGGGAAACTAATGGCACATACGTTGTTTTTAAACCGGGCTAGAATTTATAGTTCCAAATTGCAAAATGTAGTCCAATTCTTTCTGGCTCACGCTCTCGGACGTGGCATTATGCAAAGAGGTACCACGAAGTTTGTTGGGAATTACACGGTCTATTCGAGCAATTTTAGTTGGGTAAATACTCCAGGTACGTAGTGGGGGGGGGGCTTGGGGGGCTCAAGCCCCTAATGACTCGTTCCACAGTATTTGAGGTATCGACCTCAACTTGGCGCCAAAATATTGTCCTTCTCTTTGCCCTCTGGAACAATGGATCTCAAGATAGAGACTGCCCTTGTGAAAATCAAAGGCGCTGTCTAGGCGCACGTCGTCGTATTAGCCTCCGGCTTGCAGCATGGTTCCTGCAAGATTGCAGTATGGTTGCTGCAAGACTGCAGTCTTAAATTTGCATCAACTTGCATTTCCACACAATCTTGATGCAAGATTGAAAATGAGGAACTTTTTAAGCTTGGATTGCAATCTTGTTGCAAACTTTCAAGGAAACAACGAATATCAAACTTTCTGCAAGATTCCAAATTTATCATCCAATCTTGCAGTAAGGTTGCAGGAAAGATGTCGATAGGCGATCTGCTCAGCTAAGTTCCAAATTCCAGGTACTCAGGCGGAATGGGCATGTGGCCGTATTCAAGTCAACCCAAAGTGCCGAGCAAAGACCTGGAGCCGCCCTCGAGGTCTGACACCTACGGCCCAGATGAAAGTACCCTTGGTGTAGGTGAAAGCGAGCCGTCATGGCCGGAGAAGGACCCAACATCCCCTCCTGCCGGCAGCAACGGGATGACCTCGTGGGCTCCCAAGAAAAGCAAGAAGAAACAGTGGTTCCAGAAAATCAGCCCACCTACCACCGCTGACGAGGACGCCGAGGAGGGATACTTCGATAAAAATGGTCAGTGGAGTTCATTAAATATCCCGAAATACACATCAATTATTAATACTAAGGGGGAGGGGGGGGCCTAACACCGGGAAAGCCCTTTCCGTGGATTAGGTCCTAAGATAACGTTGTTGCAGGCATACCATTTTTCTTAACCCCGGTAAAAATTGGCAGTGGAATCTTTGTTCCAAAATACCATAGACCTACGGCCGGCTGTAAGATTCCCGATAGCTTCTTTAGCCGGCTACACAATTTCTTATAGCCTTTTATAGCCGAATTAAGCAACTCACAGTCAGGCGATAAAGTGTATGCTAAACGTCACTAATTATGGATGCCAGGACTTAGTGAGTTTTTGGACCACTGCTCTCTTTTCGGGCCGTAGTATCTTGATTTATTTTGCGAGGAAAGCTCCGTACTTTTGATGGATGCCTGCCATTTCTAATATATTAGAGCGCCTTCAGTTTCGTATGGTGCTGTGCAATACCTCTGGTGTGAAATAGTTGCTTCAAGCGCCGTGACACGCAGCGGTAGGCGGGCAGCCAGCGCGAAACGCATATTGGCGCCTACAAACCTAACAGGGATACTTCACGCGTCGCGCAATGCGTGAAGTATCCCTGTTAGGTTTGTAGGCGCCAGTGCGCCGCCGCTCCGCTTTGTGTTAGGCTCTAATATTTAATCTCGTGGAGTCGGCTTATTTCAACTCATGACTTTGAAATGTTTGCATACTCTGTATGGATTATTCTCATTTTAATTGATGAAAAAAAATATGTAGTAAAGGAAAATATAGTGTGCGTTTTGTAAATATTAAGGTGATTCCGTACAAACTTAAGGATTTACAAACCACACGAATTTCTACACAATTTCTTACAGCTTTTTAAAATCGATGGCGAAAAAGCAACAGCCAGGCGATAAAGTGTAAAGCCCGGCTATAGGAACTGTAGCCCGGCTGCATAATTTTTTATCGCTTCGTATAGCCCAGCCGTGTGATTTTCTCCGCATTCTACAGCCAGCTATATGATTTTCTGTAGCTTTCTTTAGCCGGCTATAAGAATTCCTATGGTATTTTGAAACGCAGCTCTTATCACCAATTTTTATCAGGGAACTTTATGTAAATCACAGGGGCCTAGAAATTTCGGATATAAGGAGCCGTCCATAAATGGCGCCAGGGTCCTAGGGGGAGAAGGGCCAAAGGGTGTCTGACATGTATCTGTCAATCAAGAGAGGGGGGCTGAACCCGACATCAGGCTGGTACGAATCGCCCATTATGAAGGAGGTCTCAACCGAAAACAGAGTGGAGCGCAGATTTTTCGCTGTTAAGAAGAGTGAATGACTCAAACTTGGCGTAATTTTCAAGGCGAAATTCACCGCTGGTTGACGTGCACAGCCAGACC